AAGTAAAGGGTTAAAGGTAGTTAGTAGTAGAATGGAATAAAACAATTTGTTGGGGCTAGTTTCTGTGGCCAAAAGTGAATTAACATGGGAGATAAGAGATGAGGGGGTACGGTGAATACTTGAGGTTTTTTATGCCGCTTGAAAGAAAAATAGAAGGAGGGTATACCGTGAAATAAGATGGGGAATTAGGGGTCTATACGATGTTTTCCCAATAAATAACTTATGATAATAGCGTCAGCTCTCAATACAATGCCACAAATATCTACCAAGAAACATTTAAGATTTTTGCAAGCATAACATAAACATGTAAATCATTATGACCCAAAACATGCATACAAACAACTACAACCCATGCAAATCAGCATAAGTAGAACTTGAAGTAAGGCTCACAAGAGATGTTCCATACCCCACGCTGTGTTCGACTAAGCACTTTGGCAATATCTAGATGACCTTCTTGGGAAAATGAAGCATGCCATCGTCGCGCGCTAAGAGTTCTTCCAGACTGTCACCACAAAAGCATGAATCATATGGTCGTTGAAGGACCATGTAATATTGAATAGAAGATATTATAAAAAGGAAAATAATCTTAAGAATAAAAAATTGCAAGAAAGAAGCAATAAACTAAGCCTACTAACCCTAGGCTTGAACCGGGTCTTTGGGACATCATCAGAGCATTCAGGCCGTATAGCATAAAATGATTGTGAATCACTTGTTCCCTTCCACATGTGAATTTAAGCCTCACAGGACAGCCGAATTGACTTATATATTCCGCCTACCAAAAAACAGCACGATATTTTAAACACCAATCACTAACAAACCCTAACTTCCCCAACCCCGAGGTTGGATGACCACATGGGTTTTGGTCATCATGTGATTGGCTCTATACCTAAAGCTGTCAATTTGTGAGTTCCATGAAAACTGGTATTTTCAGTTGTCGTCTAGCTCAAAAAGTGGCAGTATTTTATGGGTGAATGCACAACTGAATGGAAGGACAAAGTGGCACCCAAAGGTGTCACTTCAAACAAAAATAGATCGTCACCCAAAACAGCACCGAGCCATGGTTCATTGAAGAATTCAAACAAACCCCAAAGTAAGCAAATGTGTCATACACTTGAAGGGGACCATACACATCAAAGTGATTAAGAATTTTGATATCCATAGAGAAAAGCTTCAGGATAAGTTACCCAGCACTCAGAAAGCAACCCAAAATATGAACTCAGATTACCAATCTATGCTTTTCCTAGAAAAAAAAAATGAATGGAAAAACGAGACTAGATCCCAATCCCAACCAAATTAAAAAAAATAAAATAGACGTTTATAATTCCGCCTAGTTCTTATGTCAGGAGGAGAACAAAACTAATCAGGGAATTTCAGACCCCTGAGAATCAATAAAAAACATCAAACCTGAGCATTTATTACTACTTTCGGGACAAATATATCATTTAAATAAAATATGGAAAACACCCATATAAATGAAACCAAGATAAATGAAAATCCATTGCCAATTTCGAGCAACCCAAAACCTAGAAATAACACGAAATCAATAAAAGTAAGACAATGATGAAAAAGGCATTAGTAAAAATATGATTTCTCACAAATCAAGTCATGTGGATTACCTCAATACCAAAGAACTGAATCTCTACAATACATGACCTTGGACACCCAATTAGACAAATTTTTGGATTATTTAATAAATGATCGAATGAAATCTGAATGAAATCGAAATTCCTGATTTTCAATTGAATGTCATTATTTCATGAAGAAAGAAAATAAGATAAAATTCCTACAACCCAATTATACGTAAAATTAACTGATAAAAAAATAAAGAGCACAAAAATAAATACAGAAAATTCAATAAAATTACGCAATGACGATGAAATTACAAAGGGCGATAAGGATCAAAAAAATTTAGACCCAAAAATAAATAGTTAATCCAATAGCACAAACAGAAAACTAAGAAGAATAGAATGGCCCGTACCTTAGAAACACTGATTCCAATGACTGATAAAGAGTGTCAGTTTCGAGTTTTCAAATTTAAGAGTGCGTTTTGGAACTCACCAGCTCGTGAGTAAATTTATGAGAGAAGAGGAGAGAGGAAATCAGGTTTTGAATTGGAGGTTAGAGAGAGAAAATTAGATTTTCCATTGCGGGTTAGAGAACGGAAATTAGGGTTTCAGATGTGGCGGGGATAACGAAAATGAATTGACATTAACGGTTTGCTGGTTTGTCCATTTTATTCCGGCAAATAACGATAACTGATTAAATAATAATAATAATAATAATAATATTATTATTATTATTATTATTATTATTATTTTATTTTATTTTTTTTGTTCTTATTTTTCAATTTAATTTTTTAGTGTTAGTTTAAGTTTTTTTCTTTTTAAAATTTGATTGTTTTTTATCTTTTTAGTTATTTTATTATTATTTTAGACAAATTTCAAAGTGCCAACTATGCATCCTCGATGAATTAAGCAGTTTGGACTTGGCACAAGGAGACGTGGGGGTGAAAATGTTTTGTTTTTTACAAATAGCCAACCAAAGAAAAATTAAAAATTAAAAAATTGGGAAAAAGTTTATATAAGGGTGACTCTAAACACTTAAATTAAACTGCACCTAAAAAATCCAATAAAATTGCTATTTTAATGTTCAAAAATCCTCAAAGCGATCATCTCAACCTCGAGATTTATGAACAAGAGAAAAAACCGATTCCAAGTTTTGAAAAGAGTCCATCTTGCAATGCATTTTTAGATCGGTAAGTTTTAATATTTTTCAAGTATTCATAGATCTGCTCGATGTACACTATTTTCAAAGCCTTAAATTTTATTATTAAAAAAAAATCAAGTTTCAAGGCATCGCAAATATTTCCAGTAGCAAAAAAACGTATTCAAACACTATTTAAAAGTGCGCCGTACTTTGAATGTTTGGGGCCTCAGCCCTATACAAACCACACCCAGGTCAATTTTGGCATGCGAACAAGTAATTTTGTTCAATGCATGTTTATTTACTTGTTATTTACCTTGGAACAATGGAGTCAAATGAAGATCTATTCCTTGGTAAAGTACATTACATGGGCTAGGAAAAGGTCAATCACTCTATATGTGCAAAGGGGCACCTAGGAATGTGATATTCACCACCATTGAAGTCAAGAAAATATTTTATTTATGGTTTGTACATAGAAATGATACACTTCAGCCATCCCATTTTGTTAGGTGGTAGTGGGCCACGCAACCTAGCCCTAAAAAAAAGAAATAGGGCATGGGCCACAAGATGTGGCTTGAAAGCTGGGTTTGGGTTTGGGCTTGGGCTTGGACTAGGGTTAGGGCTAGGACTAGGGCCAGGGCCAGGGCCAGGGCTAGGGCCAGGGCCGGCACAACCAAGTCCTCTTCAACTTGGTTTGGCCCAGGCCAGGCCAGACTCATACCAGCCCTATGGGAACTAGGTGGCTAGGAGAAAGGCTGCCCCGCCCCTTATCCATTGCCAACCCTACATTTATATCAGATAATTTTTTAAGGTAATTATGACCTATGTCTATTGAAGTGATAAGTTCATTTATATAGGGCATCAACCTTATGCTATAAAGTATCACACGTCTCAGATACCTAGCAATTCAACCTCAAGATACATGAATATATTATTTGGAGCGCAAGTAGATTTTCAAGCAAGTGTAAATTCGTTGTTAAATATTATATATTTTAAATCTAGTCCTTTTTTGTTTTTTGTTTTAATACAATTTATTCCGAACAGTAGCAGTTGGACCAATTTTTACTAGACTAAACTCTTCATCAATTCAGTGGCCGCTCCAATCCTAATAGCATTGCTGAACAAATATAATTTAACTAATATTGGCTTAAAGATATTTAGGTATCAAAATTTAATTGTATGATTGTAAGTGACCTAACAATAAGTTCATCATTAATATCCACCTTGGCATTATTCTCCATTGACACTTTATTATCTGGCCAAGATTAAACAATTGTATATTTGTTTGAAGATACATAGAAAGATTTAGCTACTGTTATTAGGATTGGACTGCCATTGATTTGGTCAGAGGTATGGTTTAGTCAAAACTCGTCGAATCTCTTGTTGAATTAGTTTGAACGAATTTTTAAAATATTAAAAAAATATGCATAATACTTTAAAAAATATGTAATATATTAAGGAAAAAATAAAGGTCCGCTTTGTTTGTACAGTCGAACTGATTGAAACCGAATCATAAGACAAGCTAAAATTAATCAAACACTAGTTTTTACCGGTTTTGACCGAACCCAATTTTTACTTTAAACCAGACTAATCAAAGAACTGGTCGACAGTTCGACCAGCCAGACGATCAATTTTGGTCTAGTCTTCATAACCAAGAATCCGACTAAAGATAAAAAGGGGTAACCATTTTGCCTAAAACATCTATGGCTATCAACAACGATTATTAAGAAATAACAATAAGAAAAAAAGGTTCCCCTCTTCTCTCTCCAAAGGGCGGCCAGACTAATTTCAACCTCCCTTATGAAAGATAATCACACTAAAGCCAAATAGATGAAATGAACAAAATAATAAAAGCTTAGTTAATGTCCAATACATACTTATCTTTCTCTCACTAAGAGGCTATAAGGCTGAAATGTCAGCACCTCTTAAACAAAAGGAAAATGGTTTGATAGGGCTGTAGCTGTATCAAAGTAAGTAAAACCTCACCTCATAACTCATTAAAAATTGCAATTCAAGCATGAAAAACATTCATATTGATTTTTTCGGCTTAAACATTATGGTTGTAAAAAACAAAAAAATTCAAGCTCTAAAAATAGTGTATATTGTAGCAAATTATCGAGACCGTCAATTTCATCCTAAAATTAAGTGTTCATAGATCAACAAGATTTGTACATTTTTTTAGTTTCAAATGTTATTATTAGTGTTGGAATTGATTTTAGATCCATCATAGAGATTTTTGTTGCCGAAAGAGCTTTCCAGACGAGAATTTGATGTAAGGGTTGAATTTGGTTTTCCAAAGCCTAACCACAATTGAAATTATTAAAACTGGTCCCAAAATAAATTCTCTTTCTATATCTCACCCAAAAATCGGTGAAAATCTATGTAGGATTCAGAAAGTGTTTATCAATATTTGAATAAGTGAAATTGCATTCCAGTTGTATTTATTGGGGTATATACAATTGGTGTGGTAGAGTATACAACTAGAATACAATTTCAACTTGCAATGGCAAAGTAAAAGGGGAATACAACAAAATTGACATGTACCAGAATGCATAATGTGTTAACCCTAGAATTTGCAAGTTGAGATTCTGATAAAAGCTGCCAAAGGCATATCTCAAATATCAAAATCCCAAATTAATCAAGTGGCCAACTTTATTCAATGAGAATATATATGTTAATATTTAAATTTCAAATTTCGCAATTTAATGTGTGTTAATGTGTATCAGGAGTGATTTTATATGATTGTTCTATAGTAATATAATGAAACATTTTTTTAAAAATCATTTTAAGAGAATTTGTGTAACAATCCTAAACTTTCATTAAAAAAAATATCTCTTTTAATAAGTGATGGTCCATATGAGCATGATGGTCCTTAGAGACCATCACTACTTTCAAAAACTTTTACCGGATTAAGCTTTTGCTGCCTTGCCATGTCCTTTAGTGGACGTGATTTTCCGGTGTTAAAGGTGGTCAATTACGCGACACCTCATACATGAGATGGACGAGTTTTAAATAAATTAAACAGGACGAAAGATAAGACGTCGCCTAACAACTCCTTTCACGCTCTCCCTCTTACAAACAAAGTGAGCTCCTCTTTC